TAATGAAAGAAAGATCAGAAATTTTTATTCGAGAGAAAACATTGTTCATGAATATTATTCATTTCGAATTCATAGATACGATTCATAGACAATGCCAGACCGAAAGAATTTCTTAGATAAATTTGATAAAATCGATTATTTTTTATCTCTCTCTCTTTTTCTTTTTTTTTTTTTTTAACCAGCTAGAAACTTTTAACCCGAAGAACTTTTGAACCACCTTGTATCATTTGTTCAAATTCATGAATTAAATGATTCTTTTTTTTTTCTTTTTTATTTTTACTTTCCTTTTTACTTTTTTTTTTTTTTTTTTTTTTTCTTTTATTCTTTCTAACCACACCAAGTGAAACCAGTTTCGAAAATATCCAAAGAAGAAGAGAAGGTTTAGGAGGGAAGGAAGAGAGGAGAGAAAGAAAAAGAGGGGGAGGACAATTTCGTCGAGGAGGCTCTTCTCTCTCTCCCTTCTCTTCTCTCTCTCTCTCTCTCTCTCTCTCTCTCTCTCTCTCTCTCTGTCTCTCTATCTATCTCTCTCTCTCTTTCTATCTCTCTCTCTCTCTCTCTCTCTATCTCTCTCTCTCGCGTACAATCATGTGAAACCAGTTCCGTGAGAGAATATCTTGTCGGCGCAGGGGCGCACACCGTGTACATTTTGCCTTCTTCTGCGCAGGCCCGAAGAAATTTGTGCGATCTCTGTCTGATGAAGATGCCCCTATCCTGCCCCTACCCCTACCCACTTTCCCCTTTATTTTATCTCTTTTTAATTTTCTTTTAATTTTTTCTCTCTCTTTCTCTCTTTCTTTTTTATTTATTTATTATTTTTCCCCCTCTTATTTTTTTCCTCCTCCTCTCTACCAAATATCAACTATAATATATATATATATCGTACACATAGATTTTTATAATGAAATAATTATTAGCTCTTTTTAATTTAATTTTGTTGTTGTTGTTATTGTAGTTGCTATTGTAGCCGTCGTCGTTGTTATCATTATTGTGGTCGTTGTTTTGTTCGTTAACTTCCAGTAATTATTTGGGTAAAAAGATATCGACTCCTTTGAGAAATATCATAAGTAAACGCAGTGATATATATCTCTTGATATAAATTCGAACGATAAATCGATTCATTGATTCCTTCCAATCGGATCATCGTTCGCCCTGACTGACTCGAGAGAAAAAGTTCTTGAGTACGACGGTAATAACGGGATTCGACAAGATGGAAACAAGAGCTCTGGTATCGATATCGAAACGATCTTACACACACACACAGATCGAATAAATATATATACATATATATATATGTATGTATGTATGTATGTATGTATGTATGTATGTATGTATGTTTGTATGTGTCTATAAATCGAACGTACAATACGATTTATATTGAATTTAATGACGAACAATCAAAGATCGATTACATGATCCATGAATAAGAGATTTTAAGCGTTTAGCTAAGCTACCGAAGAAAGACACACGTGGTAAAGAAAATGGACCTTCGGCAAACCCCATGACGTAAGGTCATCATCGTACAGTAGACACACATAAATACATACATACATACGTATATCGTAATGTATTTACGATTGCGACATAGAGTTACATAGTTTGCTATTATCGATAATCAATCTCATTAGAGCGTGAGGAGAAAGAGAGAGAGAGAGAGATATATGTTAAAAGTGACACGCGGAAGGAGATCAACTTTTTTTTTTATTTTCTTTTTTTATTTATTTCTTTTTTTTATTTTTATTTTTTCCTCTTTTTTTCTTTTTCTTTTTCCCTACATCAAAGAGATCGTTATATCCAAAGAAATCAGGACTCTGATAATCTATTTTAATGCAACATCTTGATATTTCTATTATTTTTGATTGACATTAGATTAGTCAAATTTTATGAGACATATAATATAGATAAAAACATATTGCGATGCTCTTATTACTAATTTCTTCCCCTCTATGTATGTATGTATATATATATATATGTATGTGTATGTGCATGTGCATGTATATGTGTATGTGTGTTCCGTGAACGTAGGTCACGTATATGCAGGTTACCTCTTACGTGCGCTGGCACGTACATCCATACATACATATATACATATGTATATACATACATATATATATATACACATACACACACACATATACGTATGTGCGTTAGACTAGATCCGGGAGTGGTGGGCGACGACGCAAGGTTAGCGAGAAATTTATTACGGATGCTACCGACGCGGCGCACGACTGACTCGAAGGCCTAACCATCGCGATTTCGGAAGCTAATATATATATATGTATATATATATATATATATATATATATATATATATATATGTTGTAAGTGAGGAGGGATCTTATATTTTCTTTCTATCTTGGGAATTTCTAACGGAACGTCATCCTCGTCGTCATCGTCGTCGTTGTCGTCGTCGTTGTCGTTGTGCATGGATTTCCTCTTTGATCGTCAATTTTCGAAGAAAACATTTGATTTACGTAGAATCCGTAAGAATCGATTATTAATTCGAAGAAATTATAAACGTTTTACTCATAATTTTATTACACATACACACACACACACACATGTATGTATGTATGTACGTATGTATGATATGTATGTATGATATGTATGCATGATGGGATATGTATGATGTGTATATAACATAAATGAGACTTCGTCGATTTAAGAATGGTACAGGATGGACGACCCTGATGGTCCGACGTCTTTCTACTTTCACCTGGATCTCCGTTAATGGTTGCATCCGCGACAAACAAGTGCTATGTCCTATTTATCATAATTTCTCGTAAAAAATTTTCAAAGGTCGATTATTTTATCAAATCTGCGATATATGTCGATTCTATCGATTAAAGTACTTTTATATAAAATTTTCTTTTATTTATTTTATTTTATTTATCATTTATATATATATATATATATATATATATATATATATATATATATATAGATATGGATACATCGTAAAAAAAAAAAAAAGGTTCATTATCTGCCCTCTAAATACATATATTTCTATCTATTCCTTAAATATATATCCTTATCTATTATTTATATATTATCTATCTTCTTTATTTAAATTAATGAAACATTAAACTTCTCTATTTACATTAATAGATAATTTTAATAAATTATCTATTCTCTATATATCATAAGTTTTTCTATACATCATTATCTATCATTTGCTCTCACACACACACACACACACACACAATTATATCTATACATTAATATCTAATATTCCCCTCCCCTTTTTTTTATAGTCCAATAATTAATGGAAAAAAAAAAGATTGTAATTTATATCGACTGTAATAATACAGAGTATTGCAGTTGCAATGCTTACAAGTTGCTCTACCCACGCGTTTCATGCCCCTAAAAATCTTTGCGTGCAGGTAGTTGTAGAAGGAAGAGAGGAGGAAAAGAAGGAGGAGGAGGAGGAGGAGGAGAAACGAAGTGGAATGGAGGGTTGGAAGGAGAACGGAAGGGAGGGAGGGAGTTAGGGAGGTGACTTGCGTGGTTCCATACTTACACATATGTATACGCATGTAGCCATAAATCCGCAAGTCGTTATTTACTGGCTGCCGAGTCTCCGAGTGCAGCAGGCGGTTGCCGCTTCGCTCGAAGGAAGCTAGTCTCCTCGATAAGATGAGAAGATAGTCGAGATACAAGCATGATAGCTTATGGCGTCAGTTCCAAAGCGGACGCGTTTCTGTTCGGAGATCCGTTAAACGGAACTTTGACTCTCTTTCTTTCTCTCTCTCTCTCTCTCTCTCTCTCTTTCTCTCTGTCTCTCTACTCTCATCCTTTCACCCCACTTCCCTCCTCTCATCGTCGTTTTATAGTCACCCCTTGAAGTCAGGATATCAAAGAAAATGGCAGTAAAGAGATATACTACCTTTTCGTTTTTTAAAAGAAACATCTGAGAATATTATAGATAGATCAAAGTGTCTTTTACTCTCGAGAGTATTTACGTTTTTTTTTTTTTTTTTTTTTTTTTTTTTTTTTTATAGAACGAATTCGTATTCAAGAGATCTATCTTATTCTTAAAATATAAATATAAATCTTAATTTATGTTTCCGTACGCTTCGATAGGAGGTAGGATAATTTACTTACTTATCTAAGTACTTTCCGCATAGTTTGCATATCGTATCAAAGTAAATTGAAATCAATTTGAAAAATGGTATTAGTTTGAACGATGACGAAAATAGAAGGTAGAAAACTCAAGACCGTATCGATTTAAATAAGGACGAGGAGGACGAGGAGGAGGAGGCTACTAATCGTTCGACGTTTCAATACTATTTCTATCTATCTATTTTCAAGAGCTTGAAAGATATATAAGATTAAGTATTTATAAGATATCAAGGTGGATCCAATAAACATTTCTATCCTTTCTTGGATGATCAATTTTATTTATATATCTCGCTGTTCGAAAGATTGTTAATATAAAAGATAAAATTTTATTTCTATCTTTTTCGTATGGTCAAAAGTATAAGGTCGAATGACAAAGCTCACGTAAGATTTCATTCTGTTTTTATCTCTTTTTCGAAAATTTGAAAGCATATGATCAAGTGTGGGATCAAGTAAAAAAAAAAAAAGAAAAGAAAAAAGTATAATAAAAGATCGATTCTATTGTTATCTCAATCGAAAGTTCGAAGTTGTAAGATTGAATGAAGAAGAAAAATAAAACAACAACAAAAAATAAATAAATAAATAAATAAATAAATAAAAAAAAAGTAAAAGAAAAAAAAACAAGAAAAATGAAATGAAAAAGAGCATAGACATAAGATCGAAGTTCTTAATTATAATTAATGTGATAATATAATATATGTACCTACACATGTATGTATTTGATTAATGAGAAAACAAATTGAAAACTAATACGATAATGAATTATCTTGTATATAAGAATATATTAAAAAAAGAAAAAAACAAAAAAAGAAAGAAAAAAAAGAGAGAAAGAGAAAAAGAAAAAGAAAGTAAGAATTTTTTTTCTTTTTTTCCTTTTCTTTCAGAGATACGTCGATTGCACGGTGTTAGGTGGTGGTAGCAATGGTGGAGACGCTGAAGATTCTTCATATGACAGTGATTACGAAGCTGAAGATTCAACGAGCGTTCATCCGCCATTGGAATCACGGCTCTCGTCTTCCACGCATTCGGACGTGTCCCGTACTGCTTCGGATACCTTGGCAGCGGAATTTGCTGAGTATGTTACCGTTCAGGGACAGACCCCAACGCAAAGTCCAGGTAAGAGTAATTTTATATCATCGAAAATTATATTAATAATTTGATATCGATGACAATGTATAACATAAATTCATTTTGTTCTCATTCTTTCCTTCCTTTTTTTTTTTTAATCATCATAAGGATATACGGCCAGAGTTGAATTCGCATTGAAGCTTGGATATACCGAACGTTTGGTACAAGCAGCTCTTCAAAAATTAGGACCGGATCCTGGTCAAAATGAGTTATTGGCCGAATTGATAAAGCTAGGTGCAAGTTGTTCGCCAAAATTAAGCGAAAGCCCGGAAGAATGCGATACTATTTTAGATGGCGAGACCAGTACAGAAGAACTTGGTAGATCGAATCTAACGACAACGACTGTTACATGTTTGAGGCCTGTTGTAATCGACGGTAGTAACGTCGCTATGAGCCATGGAAATAAAGAAGTATTTTCATGTCGTGGTATTAAGATCTGCGTTGATTGGTTCAAAGCTAGAGGACATCGAGAGATCACTGTTTTTGTACCAAAGTGGCGTAAGGAAGCATCTAGGCCTGATAATCCAATAGCCGATCAAGAAATTCTAGGTGAACTCGAGAGAGATCGATTACTCGTTTTCACTCCATCCAGGTGAGATATTATCAATCTTTATATTTTACTACATTATTTTTTATTTTATGGTAGTGTTAAAACCACAAGAGAATTTTATTTGCTATAACGTGTTTATTTTTTTTTTTGCGTGTTCTACTACAGACTAGTCGGAGGTAAACGTATGGTCTGTTACGACGATCGTTATATTCTGAGGTTGGCCGCTGAAGTCGATGGTATCGTTGTTAGTAACGATAATTATAGAGATTTGGCACAAGAAAATCCAGAATTTCGAAGAGTCGTCGAAGAGAGAATTTTGATGTACAGTTTTGTAAACGATCGATTTATGCCACCTGATGATCCGCTTGGTAGAAGTGGACCTACTTTAGAAAATTTCTTAAGAATTGGGCCGAAAAAAACTGATCCAGCACCGCCATGTCCATATGCGAAGGTTAGCGCCGAGTATAATAACAAATATGGACGTGCGATTTGATCGTTCGCATTGTGATTATTATTAATTTTTTTTTTTTTATTTACATATATTTGTACGTATAAAAGTTTTCTTTATCGTAGAAATGTACGTATGGAAATAAATGCAAATTTCGTCATCCAGAAAGAGGTCCGCATCCTCATAAATCAGTAACAGAACGTTTGGTGGAACATGCCCAACGACATCTTCAAGCTAGAGGTCCGAGTTTAAGTTTACCCTTAAATTCTACAACAGCGGCGACTACTACGAATGTTACCGTGCAGCAACATCAACCCCTTTGTAAAGCAAGATCAGCTGCTATATCATCTAATGTTTCTCAATCGTTAGCATCCGTCCCTAAAAGTAGATCCGTTGAAAATGTCACTACGGATTTGTCAACGACTAGTCCAATCGTATACGCACAACAGATTTCTGCTGTACAAAATATGCAAGGTAGATAATAAAATAAAATTGTATTCGATTTTAATGAATTTCATTGAATTATATATATTTATAAGAATTAATATTTTAAAACTAACAAAGAAAAAATTTGTATCCACATTTCAAGGATACGTATCTCCTCCAGGTAATTGGCCAACACCTAGAGTTAATAGCTCGGATACAGAGCCAGTGAATATGCATAGAAAATTACAACGGCAATTAACCTTAAATCCGGCATGCGATCCACGTATTTATCAATTGAGAAGATATCAACAGCATACAGCGCAATCTTCGACGCAACAGCAACAACAACAACAGCAACAACAACAACAACAACAACAGCAAAAACAACAGCAACAGCAGCATTCACAGCAATCTATAATTGGTGGTCATCCAACGATCCAACAGCATAGGCCACTTACAAGACATGCTAGTAATGAGTCTCCTTATTCAGTACCTATAAGGTATGTTGGATATATATCCTATTTATTGGTTCCAATATATGTATATATATATATATATATATACGCACACACACACACACACATATATATTTTCTTTGATGTAGTTGGGATCATCCTGAAGGACTTCATCAACATGTAACACGTATTGCTTCGGCACCAGATTCTTACCGAGCTTGGCCTCCTCGTAGTACGAATCTAATTGCACCTTCACGAGTATCTAGATTAGGCACATCCGATCCACAATTAAATTTGTTGCCATCACCGTCATCAGCCGCAACAAATTTACACGGAGCTACTTGGAATACACAAACCCAAGATGCACGACGTCGTTTGCATTATCATCTTGCTAATATCTTCCCCGAGGAACAGGTACAAGCAGCGATGGCAATGAATCCTCATGAAACTGATCCCCAACAAATATGTGCCACGATTTTAGCAATGTTTCCCAAAAATTAGTATGAGCTAAAACTTCGCCAATTCTCCGACTAAACCAAACAGGTATGGTAATATATATATACATATATATATATATATATATATATATATATATATATATATATATATATATCATTTTGTACAGTAAATGGATGTGATTGATTTCACTATAAGTAAAACTTCGATGTAAACACAGAATTAGTCTGTAAAGGACATTTCTTCTTGATTCATCGGATCATATGTAGATCATAAAGTGGGATAATACTTTTAGAAGAAAGTTTTTATAATAGGATGAAAGATCATAATGATCAAATCATAAAAGTGATTTTACATTTATTAGTAAACGCGCATTAAATATAAAAGAGTATAAAACAAAAAAGAAAAGGATCATATGGAAAGCTTTTTAAAATAATTACACATCATTTTGGACATGCTCTCCATGAGAGTAGAGAAATGGGAACATAAGGATTTTTATAGAAGTTTTTCATACGTTTGATTTTTTTATTTTAATGTATCAGCGAATTGTCATTTTTCTCTTCTTCCTAAGTAAACAGACAATACATTAAAAATCGATTTATTTATCTATAGCGTTAAAAGTTATATAAACATTCATTTATATGTTATAGATCGATATACATATATGCACAGTGTTGTTATGTTTGAGATCTATTCCCAAATCTCTCCGCTCAGTTAAAAATATTTTTATGCATGAAAGATTGAAATCATTTATCAATGGGTTTATTTCAATTATACATATTCGCAATTAAGCGTTATGTTATACATTGAGATAATATATGTATATTCCTTGTGTACATCCGTTCGCAATAAGATTTACATTTTCTTCCAGCTATTCAATATTGACTAGTGTTTTTTGGGGTAGAGAATGTATCTTAACATTAAATAATTTTAATTAACAAAAGTTAAAACGTGATAAGATTCTGTTATAAAATCTATCTATTTGTCATTATATTAAGAAGAGCAAGACATTTTATGATATAAAGAAAGATATCTTTTCTATGATTATTTAATGAAAAAGTAAGATGTTAATATATGTGTAGCATATATAAATACACGAGATGAAGTGTCTATCTATGTTAGCCAAAATCTTTTCTCAGAAATTAAAAGAAAAGTATAGGTATGTAGTAAAAATGGATGCTTCACAGTGTATATATATGTGTGTATGTGTATGGAATAAAATATCGCAATACCATGTATTGTTTAATACATAATTACAAGAGTTTCTGATCTTGTACGTTATCTAACAAAGAATTCTTAGAGCATCAGTTGCATAGGAAAGAAATTAAAATGATATCTTTATAAAGTTTGCAACACAAAATATATTGACTACGATTGAGAATCATGTCAATCGAGCAAAAAAAAAATTAATGTTTAATGTATGTAAAATATGTTGCTATTATTATTATGATTATTATCATTATTACTATGTTAATATTATCAAAAATATATGTGTATATACATATATGTATATGTGTATGTATGTATGTATATATATATATATATACACACACATTACTCCTTTCATTGCTGTGATATTGAATTCTATGCATATAGATAATCAGACATGTTTATAGTACATACAGGAAAATATACAGACTGACCACTTATAAACAACTACAGAGTACACATCGCCTGGATTCCTTGAGCAATTAAAATTATTCATGACGATGAAAGGTTATAAAAGAATTTTATATATATATATATATATATAAAAATATATATATATATATATAAATGTATGTATGTATGTATGTATGTATGTATGTATATGTATATATATGTATATGTTATGTATAACATATGTATATGTATAACAAATTTGTATCACTGTTATTACGGATGGACTGTGAATTAAATGTTTTTCTATTTAATGAGACATATATGCTAGATATTAGATGCCACACACACAAAATATCATCATCTAATATCAAAAAATGGTATACACGGGGAATTTAAGTTTGCATTAAAAACGATAATAGATTTTCTTTTCTTTTTTTCTTTTTTTTTTTTTTATACATTTATTATAAATGCAATTACACAAATTCAAGGAACATAGATTTTACATACAAGAAAGAGCATTCTTTTTTAATATCTACAATAATTTATACATATATGTTATTCTAAATAACATTTTATGAAAATGACACATGAAAGTTTTAGTTATTAGTTAACATTAATTTAAGACTTTTTTGAAGAGAATAAAAATCAATGTAAAAGTTTAATCAAACAACAATAAGAAATTTAGTTCAAATGTCTTTGGAGAGAGGGAAAGAGAGTATATTTGGTATATGGATCTGGCAGTTCGTTCAATTATATAATCTCTTTATCTATTAAGAAAAAATGCATTTACATAGTTCATTTTCACAAAAGTATATATGAATATTTAACTTTCATACAAACTATTTTAAATAGTTCTAGCTCACAATACATATTCTTTTTTTTTTTATTTTATTATTATTATTATTTTTATTTTTTTTATTTTTTTTTTTTATAAATAATACTTCTCATTTTTATCAACTTCTTAATATTTTAGTTAAAATATTTGTGAGCACATATTTCTTAAATATTTTATAAATTTTCCTAACTTAAAAATATATATATATATATAACAATAAAATTATATATATATATTATATATAATATTTATATATATTATATAATATATTTATATATATTATATAATTATATATATATAATATATATATATATATATAATATATATATATATATCAAGTTCACGGAAACATTAGTTTCTAAACGAAGTTCAAGATTTTTAAATTAATAAATAATTTTCAGAGAATCCTTTCATAAAATAGGAGATAAGCTTGACAGCGGAGTACAGTAGATTCATCAACTTCTATTATTCTAAAAAAATATAATGAAAAATAGAAATAATATAAAAATAGAAATAATAAAGTTGTACAATATCTAAAAGTAATTCAATATATTAGAGAAATTTCTTACCGTGCATCGGAAACAGAATACCATTTGCCTGGAGGTGGCGGTGGTATTGTATCCGCGATTTTGGCTGTTGCTTCTTCTAATTCAGGATTTTTATCGTTAGATATCTCCTCGACAACATCTTTGGCATCTTTTCTAGGTAAGAACGACCATCGTGGATCATTTGAACTTAATGGTGCTCTTGTCTATACATATAAAAAAATAATGTTAGTTATATATGGAAACGCAGTTGTTAAATTATGACTCAATATTGAATTGTATTAAATTTCAGGTCTTTTTCTTTTAATAACTAAAATGTGCATTAAATTTTTTGGAAACTATCATAAAGACAATTAAAGTTGTTAACTATGATAACTGATAATAGAAAAGATTAAAATGATTATTGAAAGTAATATTGAAAGTCTTACTTTGACATAAGCAATATAATGACCTCCATCTATCGTTGAACCATAATGCTCAACTACGCCGTAAAGAGCATAGAATCGTTGTTTCCTACTATTTTTACAAACTGGAGATAAGTCAAATACAAGTGGAAATGCGACACGCCTTGTCACTTTACGAAAAGTAACTCTTTGCGCTTGAAATCTTTTTAATTGTAAAATCAAGACCGGTGGAACACGTGATATAAGGTACTGCTTGGTGTGAGGCGTGCATATCATTTTTGTGCAGTTTACTTTAATCTGAAAAAAATGCAACGTCAATAACAACAATGATTTACATCAATCATAGAATAATATAAATAATTTCATTGATTTCGTTATATAAGACGAATATTAAATATTATACCTTTTTCTCTGCTTCAGTGCATTGTTCACATCCTACTTCGTTACTGCCACTCATAAGTTCTAATGTCGTGAATTGATTTAAACACGATCCTATCGAATATTCTTCTTCTTTTCTAGGATATTTTGTTGGAGAATGATGTGTACTATTTGTTATACCCAATCGTGAAAGTCCAGATGTTATATCGTTAATACCAACGTTAACTTCTTTTTCTGAATTACAATTTTTCGACTGTTTTTCATTATGTTCGATCGTAAAAGTTTCTTTCTTCGTTTTAACAATTGAAGCTGATGATGTTTCTATATTTGTACTAGAATCAGTTTTATCTAATCCAGAGAGTAGCCTATCTATTTCTTCACCTTCATCTCCATTTGGCATATTAGACAACGGACTCATAGGACTATCCTTTGATGTTATAGAACTGCTTAAAGGACTCACAGTTGAAACATCAGGACTAGTTAATTCAGAATGAATTATTATAGATGTGGAATGAGATAGTTCTGTGCGTCCATTGTTCTCATTTTCATTACTTTCTAAATTTTCAATTTTTTCAGCTTCCGAAGAAAGTCGTATCTTTGTTATATCTGCCATTGATACGTCAGATGGATTAGAATTGTTTAAGGCACTGACAGTAACGGTATCGTTATTTAAAGGAGTCTTCAAATTATCTATTGATTTTAAAACTAAACTGTTCTTTCTAGATACATTAAGAGTTTCAGATGACGTTCTCCTTTGATTATCAATTTGATTGTTGGTAGGAGATATAGGACTAACAACAGCTGAAGCTTTCTCTGAACTATATCCAGATTCTCCAACTTCTGCCATTGTATTCTCACCTTCTACATTATCTTCTATGTCTGCATCGCTCTCTTTTAAAGAAATAAAATTTAATATAAAAAACCAAATGACATAAAAATAATTTGCAGTCAAAAAAAAAAAAAGAAAAAAAAAAAAAAGAAAAAAAAGAAAAAAAAAGAAAAAAGGAAAACATAAACATTTACCTGATTCTAATACACCATTTTCTTCAATAATCTTATTATGTTTTATTATATCATTGTAGTAATAGTCAGCAGTAATATTTCTATTTTTTCTATTTTTTCTAGAAGCCTTTCTTTCCTTTTTTAATTGTTGTTTTGATACAGTATTAGGATAACTGTTACCCGTTATATCAAAAGTTTCATCTAAACCGTTATTTTTTCTTCTAATGTATAAAAAAAAAAAAAAAAAGAAAAAAAAACTGATGAGATCTGTGCATGTTAATTTTTTATTCTCATACTAAAGATAAAATGAATATATATTTACTTAAATACAGGAGGTTGTGGCTTATCCGCTGCAACTGGTAAACTCAAGTCTAGAAATGGTTCAGTACATTGTGAAGAATGATTACACTTCATACATTCCAAAGTTGATACTAAAACACCCATAAACACTGGTTCTGGACCAAGTAATTTTGTATTTACTTGATTACCATAGAATTTCACTTTTGCTTTTATGCTATTTTCAACAGTTTCCGGTATTGTTTTTTTACTTAAACGAAGTTCTTTCATTATAACGGATTGGTACCTCTGTAAAATAAAATAAAAAATTTTGTATAAATAAATTGCATTGTTTTCAATATTAACGCAATAAGAAGTATTTTTATTAATATAATTATATATATATGTGTATTTAGAAATTTCTTACCCTGACATCTTCATTCCGTACTAATTCTAATAAATGTCTAAGTAATTCGTGAGAATCATGTTGTCCACCGTCCATACATTGCATAGCTTTTTTCTTAAATGTATTTAGAAGCTCTTGTGGACTAAATGACTGTTGGGAAGTACAATTTTGCATTTCTGTTAATGTTTTACACAGAATCGAGGTAAACTGACCACCTCCTTCTAATTCACCCTCTATAGGTGGCTATAAATGTTAAATACATTTATATAAATAAATAAATAAATAAATAAATAAATAAATAAATAAATAAATAAATAAATATGTATATATATATACACATATACAAATGTAAAATATCTCATACCAATTCTATTTCGTCTCCATTAGGGTCAGGTTTAAATTTTCCTCCAGGTAGAATAATTTTTTCTCCTGGTGTACATAAATCATCCAATACTTTAACTAAGTATGGTGTTCTTGCTAAGCATTGAAGTACAGCATTGAAAAAACAGGTGTTTCCCAAATTATGTAAACCCTATTTTTTTTAAATAAAAAAAAAAGGAAAGATTATAAATTATTATTATACATGTATAGTTAATACGAATATATATATATATAATGTTTGTCAATATAAACTTACCATAACTTTCGGCAAGTTGTTTAGACCTTTCTCTTTATCTTTATTTACATTATTTACATTATTTACATTATTTACATTATTTACATTATTTATTACTTTTTGATTCTTAGCTGCAGTCGCTTTGGTTTGTTGAGAAGTTGTTGGTGATTTCAATAAAGATTTTTGTATAAAATCTACTAACTCCGTCTTCCTTCTAATAATAAAACAAAAAAGTTATATAAAATAATATAGGAAAAAAAAGTAAATAAATAAAAGAGCAAAAAAAAAACAAAACGAAAACAAAAAATATTAAGAGATAAAAAAAGAAGTAATTAATTTACCTGTGCTCGAGGGTTATTTCTTTGGAGCATCTATAACACCATATATTCCAATCATTTATATTTATTGCAATATAGTGACTATCACTGTGAGGCTTTTCATAATGCTTTTGAGAATGTCGCTCATTTTTTATTCCACAATTTTGTTCGCCACACAGCAAACATATCCAAATATCAACATCCGACTGTTCTGTCTATAAAAAAAAATTATTTTTTCTTTTGTTTTTCTTCTTTTTTCTTTTTTTTTTTTTTTTGTATTTTTTTTTATTCAAATACTTTGACATTAGTAACATTAATAACATTTAAGTACATAATTATTTATATTATCTTTAATTATTTTCAATATTAACGATAATATTAAATAGAAAAAGAAAAAGAAAAAGAAAAAGTAAAGCAGTAAATTATACCTCATTTGTATGTTCCATTAAAGTCTTTTCCTTTTTACAAGTTAAACATTCAGCACGTATGCCAGTCCTTTTTGTATGCTTTTTGATACTATTAAAAATGAATGCTTTGTTCAGATGAGGGCAAGATTTATCTATTTAACAAATATATTATATTAGATTATATTATATTCAATAATAATCACAATTATCATTAAATAAAATACATATAATTTTTATAATAAGGTAAAGATTTATATAGAAAATATTTTTTTTCTAACCTGTAATAGATTCTTGTGAAGATCCAGTAGATCCTCCGCTTACTTCACCATTAAAATCCCTTCGTCTACGTTTCTTACTCATTTTTCTGTTATCCATTACTGATCGACAATAATAATTATTAATCAACACTTATGATTTTTATATTTTTTTTTTTACAGAACATACACGTGTACGAATCTAGAAGAAACAACTTCAAATAATTATTTGCAACGTATAAATTTAGTGGTTAAATCGTTCGAGTATTGACTAATGATATTTCTATAATAAATATTATAATTGTTTAACAATATTGCACTTCAATTGTAGAAAAGAAACTTTCTCGAATACCAGTCAACACTATTAAAATACCTACGAACATTCTTCTCAACTTAATGCTTTGATTCGTAATGTCGAAATTTCGGTCGAATTTCTTTATAAATGAATACCCCCTCTTCGGTACCGTTATATCTGATTTAGTTTCTTAAAATCTAACTAGATAGCGCTGGTATATAATTATAAGTGTAAAACGTTATTGTGATTCGTTCGAAAAATTTCTAAACACTATAAAATCTACCTGAGTTAAGAGGAGGGGATTAGGAATGAGAGATAAGCATTGGGGATTTTCCTTGGATCCTTTTAAAGGTATTGTAAGTGTTTGAAAAATTTTCTCTTATATACAATACGGCAAAGAATTTCAGGCTATGGATAAAATTTGAAAAAATTGGAAAGTTCGTTTTGAAGAATTGAAGGACAAACGATACATTGTCGAACGAATTAAAAAGGAAGAGAAATATTTATTGAAATTTTCGTTGTACCGTTTAAAATTATTTTTGAAATGATCGACGCGTGGCTTATTCGTAGTTAAATATTGTCCTGTGTTAAATTAATATTTTTTTCTTTTTTTTTTACTTTCATGAAATTTTTCTATTCGTATAAAAAATTGAGATTTTTTTTTTATGTTAAAAATTTATTTCATCATATGATGTTATATTCTATGATCTTTAATTATTATTAATTCGACAGTATTCTCTCGAATATGTAGATCTTTAATATATAGATTCAGTTTTTGCCTTCTGATATTATGCAGAATAAAATAGATTGATTCCTGTCTTTCTCTTTTAATTTTGCGATTGGGATACACTTAAACTTTCTTTACTTTCTCTTTCCATGATTCTTTTTTTTTTCTTTCTTTTTTTTTTTTTTTTTTTTTTTTTTCTTTTTTTTTTGAGGTACGTTCAACTTACTATTTGGATCTTTTTTTTTTCTTTTCATAGAGATTAGTTTCTTTTCATAGTAGATTCATAGACATTGTAGATTCAACAAATTTATAAGATTGTTTCTAATGTTTTATGTGTAGTGCCTTTTTTGTTTTGTTCATTTCATTGTCGAACTTGTAAATTAAATATTATATTTATTTAGCATAATAAATATATATTATATATTATATAATATATATATATATATATATATTGTTATTATTATATTTATATATTATATGTATATATATATAAAATCACGATTAGAATAATACAAATGTTTTGTCCGTTTAATCTTTTTAAATAGCAAAAATTAAAAATTTAAGATTTCATTAAAGGTTGGTTTTATTTTAAAACAAATTTGTTTTTTTTGTCATTTTAACTTTCGTAAGTTAAAAATTAATATTTAATGATATTTTTATTTTCTAATTTATAATATACATAATATGTTTACATTTTTTGACACCGAAATTTTGAGAGGCGCTGTCTTATGTTTCTGATGATAACACGTGCGCGAGTGAAACACGTTTTCCTAACCTTAAATGTTAGAATCATGTGTGTCGTTTACGATTCTTACGCGTGAACATTTTGTAATAATTTTGTGATTTATTAAATAAAATAAGATTACATAATGGTTATAAAAAATTTATTTGATTTCTGTGAACGAAGCGAGGAGTATCGACTTAAATTTGATAAAATATTGACATTAAAGGTAGTAGTGTGATTATATTAATTTTTGGTTAGATGGGTTAAGTGTATTTATTTATTTTTCTTTTTTCTAGGAACTAAATGTGACAGATTATGAAAATGTTTTAAATATATTAAGTGATTATTTATTAAATCCAAATTGCACAAAAGATGTAGCCGATTGTTTTCCTCAATTACTTCCAGCTCTTGTAACTATAGCTATTCCCATGGGAAGTGTACATTCTTATTCACCGTATAGAGATCTTGTTCACAAAAGAAATTGCATTGTTCTTTCTAAATTGATTAATATAAATCCTGATTTACTTACGTAAGTATAAACATTGATTATATTCTTAAGTAAAGTTTAGATTATTTTTTATTTTATTATGATATAATAAAGTTGTAATATATTTGCATAAAGTTGTACATATATGTATATACATATTTTATTTTTTTAGATATGTTTTACAATATTTTGACTCTAATCCAGCGCCATTTGAGTCGGAAGAAAAATTTACACAAACAAAGAAACCAAAATCTGAGGAAATAAAAGTTTCCGATTATGATATTGTATTAGCATGTTATAACATTTTATCATCTGCTACAACACATTTTAAACACAAATGGAATTGGTCTAAATTTTATAAATTTTTGAAACACAAAGACAATAGAGTAAAATGGTTCGCTTTATTTATTACTAATATTTCAATATAAAAATATAATCTTTCTTGTTTTTATTGTTTTAATATTTTCCAGGATTGCTTTGAAATGCATCAGTATAATCTTGGGTATGTCGGAGGCTGTTCATTTATCTTGTGCAGCAGTACTAATTGGTGATATAAAAGAATTTCTCATTGAGTACGAAGAAAAAAATGTGGAACCTCTTGCTTTGGAAAATTTAACAGATAGTATGAAGAATATGATGATAATACTTAAGGATTTTCCATCTTTGACATCAATTGGTAATATTTTGTTACCAGTATTTAATCCTAACAAAATAACAAATGATGTTAGTTTGGTTTCCGTACCATCTATGGAAGAAAGTCTTCAAAGTTTGGCAATAGCGCTTGCATCTAGAAAATGTATATGTTTACAAGGCTCCGTTGGTTGTGGTAAAACTGCTCTTGTTGAATATTTAGCAGAAATCACAGGACATGATTCTTCAAATTTTATTAAGGTACAATTGGGCGATCAAACGGATTCAAAAATGTTATTAGGAATGTATAGATGCACAGATATTCCTGGAGAATTTGTTTGGCAACCAGGTGTACTGACTCAAGCAGTAATTGCTGGCAAATGGTTACTTTTGGAAGATATTGATAGTGCTGCTTTGGATGTAGCAAGTGTTTTAAGTAATTTATTAGAAACTGGAACACTATCTGTACCAGGTTATAGAGATAACATTTATGCTAGAAGTGGTTTTCAATTGTTCGTTACACAAAGATTGATGCCATCAGTGACTGGACTTAAAAAACAAATTTCAAGTGCATCAAGTTTGTTACAAAAACATTGGTTCTGTATAAATGTCGAAGGATTTTCATTGAATGAATTAATAATATTAGTACAGACCTTATTCCCAGCGTTAAAAACTGTTGCCAATAGAATGATAGACGTTTTCTTATTATTTTCTATGGGTGATCATGATGGTAGAAACAATACTTTTGAAAATTCATCATTAAAAACTGGAAGACAAATATCTACTCGTGATTTAATGAAATGGTGTTCACGAGCTATCATCGATTTTGATGTTTCTTTGCCTAATTCTGCTTTGAAAATTTTTCAAGATGCGATAGATATTTTTTGTTGCTCTGTTTCTGATCAAGGTATAAAATCATTCATTAATATTCTTCATATTTTCTTTTTTAATCGTCTTACCTTAAAAAAAAGATATATATATATAATAATATGTAATAAATAATTTTTTCAGGACAAAGATTAAATTTGGTTAAAACCGTAGCCGATAAACTTGGTATAGTGAAGACTAAAGCAGAATATTTCTGTAATATGTATAAACCATCTATCAGTTTAAATCTTAATTTCTTTATAGCTGGTAGGACAAAATTATTATGTAAAAAGTCAGAATATGTAAGGATGACGGAGACAAAAACTACTTTTTCATTTACGAGACCATCTGCATGCTTACTTGAACGTATTGCATGTTGTGTTGCTCAAAAGGAACCAGTATTGTTAGTAGGAGAAACTGGTACAGGAAAAACAAGTTCTATACAATATTTGGCACAAAGTACGGGCCATAAATTGATTGTAATAAATATGAATCAACAAAGTGAAAGTGCAGATCTTTTAGGTGGTTATAAGCCTGTTGAATTGAAATTTTTAATATCACCAATTAGGGAAGAATTTTTAGTATTATTTCGTTCATATTTTGCTCTTGAACCAAATAGAAAATTTTTAGAACACATTGCATTGTGTTACAAACAACAAAGATGGAAAACTCTTGTAACATTAATGAGTTATAGTACCAATGCGGCTTTGAAAAAATTAAAACATGAATATTGTCAAAAGAAGGAATCTATTTTAATGGAAAAGAATGAAACCTCAAAGAAGAAAAAACGGGACGAAGATGATACGAATGAAGAGAAGATATATAGTTTCAATGAATTGCTAATAAAATGGGAAAAATTGTCAGAGAAATTGGAAAAGTTAGAATTACAAGTTAAGGCCCAATATTCTTTGGCATTCTCCTTTGTAGAAGGAAGTTTGATAAAAGCTTTAAAAGAGGGATATTGGGTATTATTGGATGAAATTAATTTAGCTAACGCCGAAACGTTAGAATGTTTGTCAGGACTATTGGAAAAATCATCTGGATCATTGTCCTTGTTAGAACGTGGAGATAATGAGTCGATAAAAAGACATTCAGATTTTACAGTATTTGCATGTATGAATCCGGCAACTGATATTGGAAAAAAGGATTTACCGATTGGATTGAGAAATAGATTTACTGAATTTTATGTCGATGAATTAACTGAACGTTCTGATCTACAACTTCTCGTACATTCGTATCTTAAAAATATGAATTTGTCTATAGAAAAGCAAGAGGCAATTGTTAAGTTTTATTTAAATGTAAGGAAAGAGGCTGTCCGTACTTTGCTCGATGGAACTGGTCATAAACCACATTACAGTTTGAGAACTTTGTGTCGTGCATTAAGCATTGCTGGAACGAATCCTTGTGGAAATATAACGAGATCATTATACGAAGCTTTTTGTTTAAGTTTTTTGACACAATTGAATTATGATTCTCATCCGATTGTAGAAAAAATGATTTCTTCTGCTATTTTGGATAATAAAAATTTAAAAGCAATCCTTGGCTGTCCAATATCCAAACCAAAATGTGGAAACGACGAGGATTACATATATTTCGAGGGCTATTGGATTGTTAAAGGTACTTTAGCACCAAAAAGTCCAAATAATGTGAGTTTATTATTATTATTAACATTTTTTATATATTATTAGTATATATATAATATATTATATTCCATTAATCCTTTATACAAAAGATATTTATGATAAAGAAAAATTTATATTTTAATTTTTTTTTTTACAATTACAGTACATTTTGACCAAAACTGTTAGACGAAATTTGAAAGATTTAGTACGAGTAGTTTCCATAGGAAAAATACCAGTTTTATTACAAGGCGATACATCGGTAGGAAAGACTAGTTTGATAACATATTTAGCTAAAGCTTCTGGTAATATTTGCGTTCGAATAAATAATCACGAGCATACAGATCTTCAAGAATATGTTGGAAGTTATGTTGCCGATGAAACTGGAAAATTGGTGTTTAGAGAGGGTATTTTGGTAGAGGCAATGCGTAAAGGTATCAGAAATTGAAATTTTCTTTTTCTCCCCCTCCCCTTTTCTTTTTTTTTCTGAATATAAAATTTTTTTTAAATATCAGGTCATTGGATTATATTGGACGAATTAAATCTGGCACCGAGCGACGTTTTGGAGGCATTAAACAGAGTCCTCGATGATAATAGAGAATTATTTATACCAACAACTCAACAAGTTGTTAAGGCACATGATAATTTTATGCTTTTTGCAACACAAAATCCGCCTGGATTATATGGTGGTAGAAAGGTAAAGTTATAAATTTAATTATCCCTAATGGATTTTATTACATAGTAGGTAAGGATCCTTCTTACTCCTTTTTTTTTTTCTCCTCTTTTTTTTTTTTTTTTTTTTTAGGTACTCTCTCGAGCATTCAGAAACAGATTTGTCGAATTGCATTTCGACGAAATTCCTTCTAACGAATTGCAAATAATATTACATGAAAGGTGCCAAATGCCTGAATCGTATTGCAAGCAAGTGATTAACGTTATGACAGATTTACAGATAAGACGTAAAAGTACAGCTGCATTCGCTGGTAAACAAGGTAAATGCGTGTGATACATTATTGATATATTATTAGAATTTAATGTAATAAATCTTACAACGTGTAATGATGATATCTATAATAATAATAATAATAATTTATTATTTTTTTTTTTTTTTTAACATACAATAATATATTGCAATTGAAAATATTTTCATTATATATGTTCATTCAATATTATATTAATTTTATATGTTTATTATTATATAGGTTTTATTACGTTGCGTGATCTATTTCGATGGGGCGAAAGATATAGATTGGCACCAGATATTATTGGTGATAAATTGTACGATTGGAGTCAGCATTTAGCTGACGAAGGTTATTTAGTTCTTGCTGCGAAAGTTCGTAAAATGGATGAAGCAGATGAGATAAGAAAAGTAATAAAGAAACATTTAAAGAGAGACGTTGATCCAAATAATTTATTTTCATTGAACGATAAAACGTCTACGGTAACGAGACATATATTGGAAAAGATATTGGATAAAAATAATGCATATTACAAACATATTGTTTGGACATATCATATGCGTAGAATGGCAGTATTAGTGAAGAAATCTTGTCAATTTAAAGAACCAGTTTTGTTGGTCGGCGAAACAGGTTGTGGTAAAACAACTGTATGCCAATTAATTGCTGCGATGAATGAACAAACAATGCGTAGTATTAATTGTCATATGCATACGGAATCGTCCGATTTTCTTGGCAATTTGAGACCAGTTAGAGAACGTAATAACGTAGAAAATTCGAAACTATTCGAATGGATCGATGGTCCATTGATTATTGCTATGCAAATGGGCGATCTCTTTTTGGCCGATGAAATTTCTTTAGCTGATGACAGTGTTTTGGAGAGATTAAATTCATTGCTTGGTAAATATAATAATAATGATAATAATAGTAATAATAAAATTAATTTATATAATGATAATTATATGATATTAAATATTTTATTTCGATTAGAACCTGAACGGAGTTTACTTTTGGCTGAAAAGGGATTGAAATTAAATGACGAGGATAATAACAGTACCGTCATGGCCAATGATAAATTTATATTCATTGGTACCATGAATCCTGGTGGTGATTATGGAAAAAAAGAATTGTCACCGGCTCTTAGAAATCGTTTTACAGAAATTTGGTGCGAACCATGTATAGAAATGAACGATTTGAACGATATAATAATACATAATCTCGACGACGAATTGTCTTTATACAAACAATCAATCGCAAAAGCAATATTATCTTTTATTCAATGGTTACCGACAACTGACGTGGGAAAAAAATTAATTGTCAGTATACGCGATATATTAACGTGGTTACATTTTATAAATATATGCACGTGCAATGAGACAATTAAATTGAATATTAGCGATGCATATTATCACGGAGGGTGTTTAACTTATATCGACGGTCTTGGATCAGGATTAACTAGTACAGAAAAGTAAGTATAATATTATAAGAATTTTCATAATCTCAGAATAATATTAATAATTAATATTAATATCAATTTTTTTTTTTTTTTTTTTTTTGTTTTTTTTTCGCACTTTCCTAGATCGTCTAATTTGATGGAATTCAGAGATGCTGCATTAAGTTATATAAAATATCAAATCAAAGATACATTATGTTCTAATTTATCCGAGGAATTTAATGATAATATTAATGTTTCTTTCGACAATATAAATAATATATTTGGTATTAAACCGTTTTATATTAAAAGAGGTTCCTCTAACATATATCAGGATATGAAGTTTACATTTTCACCAAATACTACGAAATTAAATGCATTGAAACTTTTAAGAGCATTGCAATTAAATAAACCTATATTATTGGAAGGAAGTCCGGGTGTAGGAAAGACAAGTATTGTATCTGCATTGGCAAAAGCATCAGGAAATGCATTATTTCGAATTAATTTGAGCGATCAAACGGTATGTCAAAGAATAGTATTATTTTTATTCGATTTGCAATTTATATTGATGTTAAAATAATTAATTTTTTTTCTTTGTACATTATTTTTTTTTCTTCTTTTTTTTTTTTTTTTTTTTTTTTTTTATTCTTGTAGGATATATCCGATCTCTTTGGTGCAGATCTTCCAGTAGAGGGAGGTCAAGGTGGTGAATTCTCATGGAGAGACGGACCATTTTTACGAGCTTTGAAAGCCGGCGAATGGATTTTGTTAGATGAATTAAATTTAGCTTCTCAGTCTGTATTAGAAGGTCTTAATGCTTGTTTCGATCACAGAGGAGAAATTTATATTCCTGAACTTGGAAAAACATTTTCCGTAAAGTCAGATACCAGATTGTTTGGTTGTCAAAATCCATTAAAACAAGGTGGTGCCAGAAGAGGCCTTCCTAAATCATTTTTAAATCGATTTACACAAGTATGTTTTTGAGATAAATGTATATATATATATATATATATATATATATATATATATATATATTTTTTTTTTTTTATTAATTATTCAATTATTAATTCTTTTTTCTTTTTTTTTTATCACATTGTATTACAGGTTTTCATAGATACTTTGACTGAAGATGATTTAATGTTCATTCTTAATGTACAATTTCCTCAATTATCAGGCGAACTTATTAAAACAATGGTCAAGTTTAACAGCGTATTGGCGTCAGAAATTGGTATTAATTGGGGACATATCGGTTCACCATGGGAATTAAATTTACGAGATATTAGTAGATGGTGCGAATTAACAATTAAAGAACAGCAGGACGATTATGGTAAAGATTTTAAAAGGAGTTACTATAATCCTGGAAATACAGTAGAAATTATTTATGTCAGTCGAATGCGAACGCAGGAGGATAAACAAAGAGTGAGATAAACAAAACACATTATAATTTCTATAATTAAATTAATATAAAATATCATATAACGAGAATATTTAATATTATATTTAGGTCCGACAATTATATCAAGAATATTTTCCAATTGATAAATATCCACTTTCGTCGTCTGAATCATCTGTATATATTACAGAAGAAACATTATATATAGATGATGTAAAATTGGCTATTTCGCAGTCTGCTATATATAATAATAATTCAAATTTGTTATTATTGAGAGATCAAAGAACGACGTTAAAACAACTCATGCAGTGCATTAACATGAATTGGATGTCTATACTCGTTAGTATTATTTTCTTTTTCTTTCCTTCCTTCTTTTTTTCCTTTTTAAATATATTTTTATTATACGTTTATACGTATTCGACACAATATGTTCTACGACATAACTAACATACGTATATATTTATATTTATTTCATTTGTTAGATCTTATTATTTAATTTCCTTATATAGGTTGGTGCATCTGGTTGTGGAAAGAGTAATGTGGTTCGATTGCTAGCTAGTTTGGTTGGACAAAAGCTAAGATGTATTGTTGTCAATTCAGCGATGGACACAACGGAGATATTAGGAGGTTTTGAACAGGTAAGTGATACTCAATAAAAAAAAAAAAAAAAAAAAAAAAATGATTTATCTTTGCATACGAATAACATTACTAACATAAGGAATATATTAATGAATAAGAGTTTCAAATCTATCTTTCTTTTTCATATTTACATTTATACTAAAATTTAAATAAAGGTAGTTGGGGGGGAGGTTGGATGCTTTTTTTAAACATATACAAAACACATAAGTATTATATCATTAGAGCAGAGTTTTGAAAATTTTAATTCAGAGATTTATCCGTTAGATAGCACTGTATGTTTGAGCAAACTGATAACGTTTGATAATAATGATAAGTAACATATTACAGGAATGTAACTTATTATCAAAGGATTTTATTCATAAAGTTAATTAATATATTTGATCGTTGATGTTCGAATATGTATACATATATATTTAAAAATTTTTAAATATATATATATATATATTTTTTTTTTTTTTTTTTAATATAATTCTGGAATAACACGTACAGATAAATGATAAATTTTCATCTATAATTAACTCTATAAGTTTCGATGTAAAAAGATTGAAATTTAATATTCTATCCCCATTTATTTATTATTACGTGATCGTCTAATAGTCATATATATATATATATATATTATATTATATTATATATTTATAGCTGTACATTGATATGCATTAGACTGCTTCGTAACAAATTCGTAACTATTCTAATATCAGATTTTAATATTTCATTCTTCTTCTTTTTTTTTTTTTCTTCCTCTCTTTTTTATATTTCATTTATAAATTCTTGGTCAACTTGCTCTTTTTCTTAAACATTAACGTACGACTAATTTTTTTTTCTTTTTCTTTTTTTTTTTTCAAGATCTTTTTCATAGATAATATTTTAATCCTTTTAATTGATTATAATTTCCTCGTAATTTTCCATCGTAAAGTATTTGTATATAAGAAATTTCAAAAAAGAGAAACAAAAATTTGGACAAGGTATTAATGTAAGGGATAGATTGATAGGATGTTTCGTTCTTTTTTCTTTTTTTTTTTCACATAAAAAATATTTGAATATGCAAGCATGCATATATATGTATATATATATATATACACACCCACACATACACTTATTTCATAAGAAAACGGAATCATTCATTATCAATGTTTACATATACATATATAGATACCTATTATACTGCAAATTATATATATATATATATATATATATATATATATATATATATATATATTCTGTACATTTGATAAATATGTATACATAATAGGATCCTCATTGTTAATTTTCAACTATAGATACATATTATAACATAGACTCTTCTAACATAATCGATACATATAACTTTTTTAACATAATCAACATATAGATTATTTTTCATTTATTTCATTGTGACCTCTTTTCTTTTTTCTTTTTTTTTTCTTTCTTTTCTTTTTTTTTTTTTTTTTTTTTTTTTTTTAATATGTTATTACTATTTAAGGATGCTAGGACAATAATAAGCGATCACAGATACATTCAGATATAATATTTAATCAAGTGATAGTTCTCATTTAAAATACGTTTTTTATATATATATACACACACGCGGAGTTACGTTCGTGTATTTTTTTTTCTCTTTTCCTTTTTTTTTATTTTTTTTTTTTTTATTTTTTCTATTTTACTTTTGTTTATTTCTTTTTTTAGTATTTTACGAATCTATTCCATATAAAATGACGTAAAAGCAAAGTCCAAAACTCTTTCGTTAGATCTATCAATGAAAAGTTCAGTCTGTCATTTCACTGAATACGTTAAATGCGCGTATTATTATTATTATTATTATTATTATTATTATTATTATTATTATTATTAGGATAGAGAGTTCGTTAAATTGTAGCGATCATATAGCTACGCCATTTGCTTTTTATTTATTTTATATATATATATACTTTTCTTTTCCTTATCGATTCTATTAACTAATATTGTATTAAATGTTATGCAATATGCATTGAGTGAAATTATAACTACAAATAGTACGAAATTATCGATCAACAGGTTGCAATATACCCACACACACACACACACACACTCACATACATCATTGTGCAATGTAACATCGGCTGATAATAATTCAATTTAACATTCAATAGCACGCTCATAGAGAAAATTATAAAAGCTATCAGTTACAATGATGTATTTATATTTTATATAATCTAATATATATATATATATATATATATATATATATATATATATATATTTATACTATATTATTAATACTTTCGAAACTCCGTATCGCGTTTATTTTATGTTTATCAGCATTTAATTAGTACGATGTTAATACTATTAGTCTACATTACTTTTTTCTTGTTTTTTTTTCTTTTGTTTTTTTTTGTTTTTTTTTTTGTTTTTTTTTTTTTTAAATTTTTTCTTAATTAAAAAAAAAAGAACGGGAAAGAAAGAGATAAGACAAGAAATCGAGATACATAAGTCACGCCATATATGATTTTATCTGTGAGAAATAACCTTTTTTCAACGTGTTGGGGTTTATCATTTAAGTTGACGTTTTAAGAAACATTGCGAAAGAAAAATCAAGAAATTAGATTTTCCAAAGTTCATGTGTTTTTTTCTTCCTTTCTTTTTTTTCTTTTCTTTATTTTTTCTTTTCTTTTTTTTTTTTTGTTCCTTTTTGAAAAGAAAGAAAAGAAAAAGAAAAAATACGTCGTATTCTCCCTCAGTAATATAACGTGAATATTATAATAAGCGTACTTTTTTCCATTCTTTACTGTCTATAATTATAATTTGATTTTATTTTCATCATTAGTCATCTATCTTGTGACTTTAACATTTCAATTAATTTTGCTGTTAATCTTAGATGAATAAAAATTTTAGTAAAAAGTTTCTCGATAAACTCGTTCGTTGAATGTAATAAGGATTAATGGACATCATATGTTTCATACAATTATTCTTTCTTTTCCTTTTTTTTTTTTGCAAATATTTTGCACATATATATATATATCTATCTATATATATATATATATTTTTTTTTTTTTTTATGTATATCTAACTATAGGGATGTATATCTATGCTTTTTTTGTTAGATATTTTTGATAAATTATATTCACATGTACTTATTCGATCGGATAAGATTAGCTTAGAACGGACAAAAACGTGTCTCCGATTTAACCAGTTATATTAATCGAATTTTATTTCTACGTCAGTTCGTACCATTGGGTGGGGATCGATTGATAGGAGGTGCCATTTCTAATCTCTACGAATTAATATTAGATATAATTTTTTCCACGTTTTTTTTTCTTCTCCTTTCTTCTTCTTCTTTTTTTTTTTTCTCTCTCTCGAGTCAATTTAGCGTTCGTGCAGTATTATTGAAGAAATTTCAAGTTTACATATTCTAAATCGGTTTTTTTTTTCTGATGACAATCCTTTATTTCTAATCCGATTAGAAAGATTTAATTCGCTTTTTTTTTTTTCTTTTTTCCCCTAATTTTTTTGTTCTTTTTTCTTTTTTTCTTTCTTTTTTTTTTTACGAGGATACACAGCGGACAAATAGTTTCTCCATTTTCTCACAATACAATATTATTATAGACTTCATTGATTAAACGAGATTACTTTTTTTTTCCTTTTTTCTTTTCTTTTTTTTTTCTTTTTTTTTTTTTTCTTTTTTCTTTTTTTCTTTTTTTGTACACGTATGATAAATCCGACATAATAGTTCGAAGATATTCATTCACTGGGTAGATCGCTGCTAGTAGGACTCATCGTCATTTGTAAATCATTCAGTTGTGGCGGTGGTGGTAATAAAAGACTAGGTCTTCTTGACAATTCTTCCTCGTAAAGACTCGACGTACTTTTCGGTCTTGAAATTAGACTCCACGGATCTGGTGGTACTTGATCCTCCTGTAAACGTTTTATCATGTGTCATAAAATGACATTAATTTCAAAAAAAAAAAAAAAAAAAAAAAAAAAAAAAGAACGTTTACTTATAAATATTAGAATACGCTTAGAGATAATCGTTCCCTTTTGAATGAACTTATTAAACTTCCAAGGACGTACACACAAAAGGAATCATATTTTATTATCGAAGAAGATTTTCAAAAGTTTTTATCAAGATGAAAAAGTTTAATGAAATATTAAACCTTCTCGTTTATTCCATCGATCAATGATAATTATGTCAATCATATCTGTTTTTTTTTTTGTTTTTTATTTGTTTTTTGTTATTTGTATTTACGTAATATTTATCAACATTATTATCAATAGAAACTCGATTGTATAGAAATTTTGAAAATTCTTTATAATGTTAAAATTTACAAAAGATTAGTTTTGTCCTTGGGTTAGGAAAAATTATTATAATATATTCTTAGATTGATGGAGATTGATTAGAAATAAATTTTTTTTTTTTTTTTTTTTTTTTTTTTTTAATTAACAGAATTTTAAAATAAATTTAACATACTCACACACACACATATATATATATATATATATTCATATAGAATATAGATATAGAAATGAAACTATATTTACAACGACTAGATGTTTAGCGTTAGGTGGTAAAGGTGGTTTCAAAAGTGCAACATCAGTGAGATCACAAGCAGCTGTTGATATAGGTTGTACTAAGGGTGGATCCGGTGGAGATGGTACGTTCAATGGCGGCTCATATCTTGGTGGTTGTACACTTTGGATAGTATTATTTGCCGTAGTACCTAAAATCCACCGAGCTATGCTCTCGCAACAGGTACAACAGACATCCGACATTCCTTGTCTTAGACCTCGATGTAAGGTCAAAAATAGGGCTGGATTGACGAAGGCATGCACATAAGCTATGTGCAAAGTGACCTAAGAAAAAACATATATTTGAAAATTTTTTATAACAATAATATTAATAGTAAGAAGATTTTGTTCTTTAAATGGAATAATCATTTGTTGTTTTTTTTTTTTTTTTACGTTGATCGATGCGGCTTTAACGCTCTATAAAAAAAAAAAAAAAATAAAATATATATATATATATCAACTCATATATGTCGAAAAATTATTTGTTTATAGGAGATATAATATTATTACTATTTTTATATAATTATTTTATATAATTTTATATAATTATTATTTTATTCGTTATTTTAAATAAACAAAAGAAAATTTACATAATTATAATAAAAATTTATATTATTTCATTATAGTTATTTTCTTATTATAGAGAGAAAAGGAAAGGTACAATCTTTAAAAAATTATTAAACAAAAATCAATTTTATTATACCAATATTATTGCATTGTTTAAATAAATAAAGAATAATTTATGCTTGAAAATGGTCTTTGAATGAAGTCTCTACGATTTTTCGTTCGGAAGATATCGCTTTTGAAAGATTTTCATTCATAATTCAGTATAGTACAGCTGTTCGTAGTAATAGTAATAGTAATAGTACGCGCTCGTAAATTCTTGGAATTTATATAGGTCAGTGTGTCAATCAGCTGTTATGAATGAAATTATATAGGTCAGTGTGCCAACGTAAACGTCTTCCATTTACATTGGAATATCTCCGGAACTAAAAGTCGTAGAGACTTGAATTAAAAACCATTTTGAAGGGCATATTTTCAATATTCTTTTTTGCAATATATTATTAATTAACAATTTGTTATAAACAATTTGTTATAAACAATTTGTTATAAATAAATTCTTACTAACTAAATTCATCTTACTTTAATAAAAAAAAACATTCAGATTTCGAGTGATATATAAAATTATGTAAATTAATAATTAATAAACAAATTATTATTATTATTTTTTTTTTTTATTAAAAAGAAATAATGTTTTTTTAACTGCACTGAAATATCTTCGGAACTAAAAGTCCTAGAGATTTGAATCAAAAACTATTTTACAGAGTAAATTTTGACTATTTTTTGCAGCATATTGTTAATAATTAATTAACAATTTGTTATAAACAATTTATTATAAACAAATTCTTTTGAACTAAATTCATCTTATTTTGATAAAAAAGAAAAAGACATTCAGATTTCAACTGATTCAAAAATTACATAAATTAATAAATAATTATTAAACTAATTACTTTTTTTTATTGAAAAAATAATGTTTTTTTAATTGCACTGAAATATCTTCGGAACTAAAAGTCGTAAAGACTTGAATCAAACGGCAATTTAATAGGCATTTTTGTTCAACATATTGTTAATAATTAATTAACAATTTGTTATAAACAATTTATTATAAACAAATTTTTACGAATCAAATTCATTATATTTCTCCATGAAAGAAAACATTTAGATTTCGATTGATTTATAAAATTACACAAATTAATAAATATTAATAAACAAATATCGATCCTGCACTTACTGATACAATCAAAAAATATATGATTGCATTAAAAAAAAAAAAAAAAAGTTCACATCTCTTTTACTTGTCAACTTAAAAAAAAAAATTATTATTGCTTTATTATATCTCTAAAAAATTCAAATATGTTCAAGTTGATCAGACTTATTGTTCCACACTGCATATATATATATATATATATATATATATATATATATATATATATATAAGGTCATGTAATTTTAAGGATAAGAATTTAAGTCAGGAATTTAAGTCAAGAATTTAAGTCAAGAATCGAGTCGGTGATTATGAAAGTGGTCTAAGTCATTCGAGATATTAGAAAATATGTTTGTTTCGTCACATCTACATACACATACACACACTATATATATATATATATATATAATTAATTTCCCTCTTTGCCGTTATAGAAAAAATAATTTTTGATTAATTCAAAGTCAAAATTGAAAATTTTTAAGGACAAATAAACACATGCATATAAAATTTATTATTAAATAATTTTCGTAATTAAAATCATTTATTACATTTTCTATTAATTTTATCCCTTTTAGAATATCAAAGTTTATTTATTGTAACATTGAGAGAAAATTCTTTTTTTTTTTTTTTTTTTATCATTTACTATCATTTACTTGGTAAAAACTCTATTCAGACTCAACATATTACATTCTACTTATATTAAAAATTCTTTTACCGTGTTGCATTTAAAATTCTTTTACTACGTGCTTTTAAAATTAAAAGAGATAAGATGAATCTTAGGCCATTAGACTCTGTAGGATTAGGATCTTTACGTAAAGGAGAGTGTTTCATTATCCATTAATGGAATATCTATGGGATCCATATTAAAATAGGAGGGAAGAAAAAATTAATATAGTATATTTATATAAACTGATCCTTCCCTCGGGATAAACTTCGTTTTACTTTAAATGAGGCAAACTTGTATTCTATAAAATTTCACGTAAATCAAGAGTAAAATCCGTATATATATATATATATATATTATATACATATAATATGTAGCTAGTATATAATTGTTTGTTTAAGCATGAAAAAGAAAATAATTGAGATTATAGAAGATTAATTTAGTGAAAAAAAAAAAAAAAAAAAAGGAAAAGAAAAGATGACATTTTTGTATACCTCATAACCAATCGCGTTTCCTATGATAGGATGATGTACTAGCGTGACGAAAAATAGTGGTCCCCAAAATATCACGTACGCTGCAGTAATAACCAGGAACATTTTTACCCTTTGAACACCCTCCCGTTCCATTCTTCTCAAATAATTTCTCATTTTTCTGTGCTCCTCGAGAGCATTGCTTCTCTGAAAATAAATATCAGATTGATATCGTAAATTTGAACGTAGTTATAAATAAAAGAATATTATTTTTATTGATTGATTGATTTATTTATTATATATATATATAAATCAGTCAATTATAGCAACGCAAAATGATAGGAATTTTCATTACGAAAATATCGTAATATTTTTATTCGTTCCATAATTACGAATAAGGAATTTGTAATTTATTATTTTTATTTATTTATTTTTCTTTTTTGTATTTTTATAATATTTATTATTTTTTTTATTATTTATAAATAAATCAAATTGATATGATAAAAATAGACATTCTTACTTATAAAGTAATCGTGTTCATCGAATTGATTCATTCAACAAACGTTGAGTAGTAAAATCGAATCTTTTTTCATTTATATTGAAGGGACATTTTTTTCTATGAATCAACTCAAAAGAAATTTGTGTCGGGTTTTTAAATCTCCAAAAAAAAAAAAAAAAAAAAAAAGAAAAGAAAAGAAAAGGAAAAAAAGAAAAGAAAAAAAAAAGAAGAAAAAAAAAAAAAGAAAAATAGTTTAGAATTAATTTAATTTTACTTTTGGTGTCACTGGAGTTCGAGCATCGTTCGTGTCATCTTCACAAGGAACGGTACTCGATCCTCTTTGGTGAGCACCAGTGACGTTGACCAATGTAGTAACAAGACCAGCTACACGAACCTAAAAATATATTTTATTATGGATGGTTAATTAATCATTAAAATTTTTTTCTTTTCTTTTTTCTTTTTCTTTTTTTTTCTCTCTCTCTTTCTTTCTTTCTTTCTTTTTCTTCGTGAAAACGTCGATGAAATTAATATCATCGACATGATATTAATTTCAATGATATTAATATCATTGATTTAATATTGATAATATTGATAAAATATAATATCAAGAAATTAATTTCTTGATATTAATATCAAGACAGAAGGAGAACGTTAACGTACCGCTTCTACATTAGCTTTTGTCAAGTCTCTGTGTAGTTTTCGTAAGTGAAAGAGTGTTAGTGCGACACAGATTATATTTATGACGATCCAAAGAACGTTGAGAATGTAATGACGAAAGGGACCATGCACCAGTGGACAGCTCGGTGCATTGTGTCCACTTTCCGTGTTGGCTGCCAGTGCACCGCTTAGAAACGTCGGACCAAGATTTATGGTTATGCTAGCGAACCATATCATGAAGGTACCAAATAATACGCACTGCAAAAGCAAATAAAACAAATAAAATACACAATCATTTTTAACGTTATTTATCGATTATCTATGTAAAACTATTATCAATGATTAATGAATTTTATTTTTTTTTCGAGATAGCAAGTAAATAGATCAATGAAATGGACTAGATGAAAAATAAAAATGCTTCGGTAATTTTTTTCTTTTTCCTTTTTATATATATATATATATATATATATATATATATATATATATATATATCATTAAAATAGAACTGTCCATTGATAATTTTTTTTTTTTTTTTTTTTTTTTTTTTTTTTTTTTTTTTTTTTTTTTTTTTTTTTTTTTTTTTTTTTTTTTAATTAAAATATTTGTATTCAATGATTATCTGTTGGTTATTGTATTACCTGCGGTGAGTCCATAAGTAAAGGAGCAGTTAATTCAGCTTCCTCATCGCTCTCAGGGAATACAGGACTATCATTTAACACAGTTGTAAGCATATTCACTGTTGAAACTGTTACAAGCAGTAAGAAAGCTGTTTCAACTAGGGAGCATTTGTTAACTGGCTGACAATTCAAAATACTTGAGCCCAGGGGTAATAAAATTGCAGCTCTTGCACAATCCACCATGGCTTGATGAAATAATAAGCCCTGAGACCATCTGAAAAACTCATGTCATTTGTAATTCATAAGTTTTATATCAAAGATCTATTTATATGTATATATATAAATAGATACACATGCACATATATATATATATAAAATACTTAAAGTATTATATATTTATTTCTTTTATAAGTATTATATATAAGGTGTCTCATTTTTATCTCGAATTTGAATATCTCACGAGACAATAAATCAATCAATAAAATTTTTTACAGATTTGTTTGCCACGAAATATGATGTCAATCTCTTTTTTTTTTTTTTTTTTTTGCAGAAGTTAAAATTATTTATATATATATATATATATATTTTTTTTTTTTATAGTTCAATAAGACGCATTCGTCGAAATGTATTCAATAATAATATATCATATGAGATAATTTATTATTATAAAATATAATAAATTATATTAAAAAATTCGTGAGTTCCTAAGTAGTTCCAAAATTGGTTAACTCTGGTAGTAGGGTATTAGATGACTGCATGCTATAAACAATGGCCGAACTTCTTATCTCTATTTATGTTTCTCAAATTACTAACGAGCTAAGTAAACAAAGTTTATATTCGTAAGAAGTTTCGCACTATTCTTTACAAAGTGCAATCTTAATAGCTGGGAACCAGCGATACAAGATTATATAGTTTTTTAAAAACTCATAATTTTCTAATGTCTTAATAATAATAAATCATCTCATATGGCACGCGTCGTTTCAATATATCATCAAATGTCATTTAAACTGTGATAAAAAAAAAAAAAAACAAACAAAAATAATACAATATATATCTATATAAAGAAAAAAAAAAAAAAAAAAAAAAAAGGAAATAAATTTGACTTTGTTATTGACCTGCGAAGAAAATGAAAAAAAGAAAATTAATAAAAGGATTATAATCTTTCATATCGAACAAATTTGCAAAGAAAATTTTTTCAATAGGTTCACTATCTCACGTGGTATTTCAATTTTGTGAAATAGATGGGACATTTTATATATATATATATATATATATATATATATATATATATATATATATAAATGATATACACACATATACATATATACACACAAACGCACATTTAATTTTTAATTGTTTTTAATTATTGTAAAAAATTCTTTTCAAAATATATTTTAAATACCTTCGCAATTGTCGTTTCGCTAATATCAATGACATGAGTATGATATTAGCACCCATTCCAAGGGCACCAAGACTGAATATAACGGTTGCTTCAGCAACACCACCGGGATGACACTGAAACACTTTGGTGGCGTTGGATGTTACGTTTCCGGACGCGCCGATACCGAATCTTAAATTTGCTCCTATCATTGCCACCGCTGAGC